CTTAAATTTAAGGTTTTAAATCTCCGGCTATAGCTGTCGCTAGCTATAGCCGGCTATAGCTGTTTGAGGCTGATCAAGCTATTTGTGTTTATATACAACTTAGCGGCTATAGCCCCATTTAGTCTCCGCTATAGCTGTTTTACAGGTCATCCACTAAATACCTTTGACCGGAGATTTAAAACCTTGCTTAAATTTGAAACAATTTTTGTGAAGCTGAAATATTTTCCTTATGAAGCTATAACACCTTTCTCTTGACCTAAAACATTCTTTTTTTGAACCTGAAACAATTTCCTTGTGAATCTAAAATATTTGTATTATAAATATGGACTAATTGTTTTGTAAGATGGAATTTTTTTTTGCTTATGAAACTAGAACACTTTTATTCAGACCTGATCCATCACACGATTTCTGGTTCGTTTGATCTGCTTTTGGCTTCCGTCCTCGCCCCAAGCTGCGAGTTCAAGCGGGGCCGCACGCTCACCGTACGAAGCTGAAAAGATTGGACGGCAAAGATGTCCGTCCGGCTTACGCGGCCAGGCTGAGTACGGCAGTACGTGGCTGCATGGTGGCTGGGCCATTGCCGCTGCCTCTCCGCTAGACGCACAGCTCGAATGTCGAATCCAAGGCGAGGATCGTCTTCGCGGTCATCTTGCTGCTACAGCTGTTATTCACACAACGCGTGCCACTCACCTTGGATAAATATCTGATGCACTCAGTATAGTGGCTCTTCTTCGATTCGATTACGTCTGATCTCCTTTGGCTGAGTAGTTCTAGATTATATCTTATTATAGCATATTCTACTATTCATGTCTTTGTGTAAGTTGTGTGTTTAATTGGTGTAAATTAATTGTTCGGTATTGAGAATAATCATTTGGATTACATCAACAGTTATATGTTCATTTTTTGGTGTTTTTTTGTTTGTGTGTAAGTTTTATTTGGTTCCCCTTTGCGATCTTTCAATTTAGCTTCCATAGAAATAACTTGATTAATTTTTTTGTTCTATCTGTTATGAGAATCGAGCGTTTCATGGCCTAGAACACTTGATTCTGACATCTGTCCAATTTCGAGTGTTTCGAAGCCATCTAACACTCGGGATGTAAGATGCTTTTAAAACACTCGAGTCAAGGGAAGACAGATTCTTTTCTTTTGAATCTGAAATAATTTTCTCATCAACTCGAAATATTGTTGTTAAAAATATTGATCAATTGTTTTGCAAGGCCGTAATCTAAGGACATTGTTTTACTCAATCAAAAGGTTACACCTTTATTACAAAAGTATTCTCTAAAAAATATCGTCTAAATGTATCAAGTAGGGCTCGTATTTTTAAGATTTTATAGTAAGAAACACAATAGTGCAATTGTAATTGCATTTGGATGCATAGTTTAGAAACTATTACCTTTCATGTCTCAATTTTTTGTGGTACATATAACACGCGGTGACGTTAGCGTGAATAAGGTTCCTCTACTCAAAAAGTTAATACCATTCCGGTATTATCCAAAATGGCCGGTATACCTTATACTGATGGCGGTGATGAATTTTCTAATTGTCTGTAGAAGTACATGGTTAGTTATGAGCAATAAAGATATGGTTTCTTTTTATCAAAATGTGTTTATTTACTTTGTAACTAAATTATTATAATTATAATATTTTAAATCATATTTCAATCGGTTAAAACAGGCACATGCTTACCAACTTTAAAACATGTACACACCTTATCCATGGGCATATGGACTATTCACACAAAAAGAGTTAGAGTTAGGCTATATGCCAAACATGTTCACGTGCTCCTGAAACTCCGGAGTGGAGATGCTCTATGGTGGAGTTATTGGAGCAAAGTTAAAAAAATAAAGCAGAGCAGTCGCAAACATACCATCCGCCATAGGCTTGATATGGGCGGATGCTAGTTTTTTTTAGGGGAATTTAAACTTCCATTAACCAACCATGTCAGCTGAATCAGACACCAAATACAACAAACAATCAGGCACTCCGGCCATGCTAGTTAATATAGGCCACTTTGGCTAATACCAGTCATACCGTGACCGTTGTCAAAACTCAAACAGGTACATAAGCTCCATCCGTCCCAGCCTCGAGCTTGATATGGGCCAATGCTAGTTAGGGCCTCTTTGGTATAGATTATGATGGATTCACTATTCATTGGAGTCAGTTTTCGCTCTCTTCCTTCTCCCTCTCACAAAGTCGGTAGGAGCAGATGAAGCCAAAAATTTTAGCTTCATCTGCTCCTACTGGCTCTGTGAGAGGGAGAAGAAAGAGAGAGAAAACTGGCTTCAATAAACAGTGAATGTGTTAGATGGAGCTGGATCCACTAGAATCCATACCAAAGAGGTCATTAATATAGGCCACCCTGGCCAATACCAGTTGTATTGTGACCGGTGTCAAAACTCAAGTAACACCTCATTTGATGTGTAATTTTATGAACTCGTTGAACCTTATATTTTTTAGCGTAGAAAGTCACTAAGCAAAATTAGATTGAAAGTAGTGAAGTCCTAGAGCACTTAGACAATGTGACTGGCCATACCCAAGAAACAACACAACACAAGGCCATCCAAATCAATCTCCGCAGTCTCTTTTCTGTACGTCCATGTCAAGTTTATATAACGTGATTTTTCCTAGTTTTCCATAGTGTACTCTAAAGGGCCACACTCTGGACCTCGCCCGTTTCCTTGATAAGCTCTGAAGGATCATGCTTTGGATTGCAGCACTGCTAGCGCTCGTCCGTTCGGACGGACGGAGGTGGCTACAGTCCAATTTCACGCCTCCATACGTGGGCCCGCGTCGTCCGAATGTCGCTTGACCGCGCCTGCGTCACCCACGCCCACATGAGAGCCCACGCCGTCCGCGCCGCGTGCCCGCGCGGGGACTGCTCACGCCATCATACTTCCCACATGCAACACCCGTTCTATTTTGAAATATCCAGATGCAACATATGCAACATAAAAAAAGACAGATGAAACACTTAAAACATGCGTCTGAAAAAACACTTGAAAAACATTGCAAACATACGCAACATCCAGATAAAACACTTGCAATATATGTGTGAAACATATGCAACATTCAGATAAATACACTTGTAACATACATCTAGAAAACAGACGAAACATTAGGGACAAACTCTTTGTAATATACGTATACAACCATTGCAACATATACAACATCCTGATCTACTTTTGTAACAACCGTATTAAACGCACACAATATACCTCTAGAATATCTAAGATGTACGCTTGAAACATGTATCGTATTGCGGTGCGGCCTCGTTCGCCATTTGAATCGGGGTGCCGCAGCCGTAGCAGGAGGTGAGGACGGAGGGCTTCCGCGCCAGGACCCAATGCTTCTGCTTGCACTGGCGGCGTCTGTCGGCGTCGTCGAGCGCGAGCATACGCGCAATGACCTCGTTGGAGTTGTTCCAAATTCACTCCAGGATATAGGCCAGCGCCACCGACGGAGGCGCGGCGGAGCAAGTGGCGGGAGCAAGGGCGCGGATGATGCGTGCCGGTATATACACCCTTGCTAGGGTTTCGTGGAGACTTGATTCTCTGGGTGAGCCGCCATGCGCGTGTAACCCAAAACTCTTGAGATGGGGAATATCGATCTGTATTTTCTTATTAGGGGGTGTTTAGTTGGTGAGGTGAAAAATTTTGGGTGTCACATCGGATGTGTCGGAAGGATGCCGGGAGGGTTTTTGGATACAAATAAAAAAACAAATTACAGAACCCATTAGGAAACTGCGAGACGAATCTAATGATATTAATTAATCGGTCATTAGCCACCAGTCTGGGTTACTGACGGAGCAAGTGGCTTTAGGACAATTAGGGCAAAAAGATTGACTGCCGACCAACAAAACTGAGCAATTAGTTTTTTTCGGACTACATTTAATGCGTCGATGGTGGTGCCGTAAGATTCGACTGACATTTTGATTGCGAAATTTTTGTAATCGATCTGTATTTTCTTAGTGAAGGAACGAAGGTAGGCGGCAGCAGGCCCGGGAGGCACCAGAGTATTTCCGTTTGGATTGTCCTCGTCACCCACAGGACCCTCCTCGTCTTTGACTTCCTGTTCCATCCAAAAAGCTAGCAGCAAATCTCCTAATGGTATCTTAGAAATGCCTACGTGTTCATATATATGTATATAGTTCTTCGTGTCTTCCATGATCACCTTCCTCGAGTTAGTAGGGCCAGGGAGATCAAAAGCATCGATTCCACCGGTAGCCGTCACTGCATACAGGACACCGTCCATACAGATGCAGTCACCATACGCAGCTCCTGGCGGCAGCCATGTCCATCGAGAGTCCCCTGCTCTCGCAATTGAAAGCTGACGAACAGGATTGTGGATCAGCGCCACAATTTAGCCTCCTGCCGTCGCCGACGACGACGCGGCATCATCTGAAAGAAGCACGCCCGCGTCGTCCACGATGGGCTTCACATGCTCGATGGTGCACAATCTGCTCGCCTGTGACAGGGTTGACCATGAGCAGCTCGGACCTCTCGTTGGCGGTGACCGCCAGCCGTTGAGGAGCCGATCAGGTACCGGCTACGGATCGGCGGCTCTGGGGGGTGTAGATCCTGTTCTCTGCGTGACTGTAGAGGCAGGCAACGTTGCCAGCGTCAGAGTCAGAGGTGTAGAGGAGGCATGGCGTCTGAGGCCTGGTAACTACTACTCCTATGCCTCAGCAACGCAATGCAAAGACGGGGCTTGCCTGTCATCCTGGCGAACTTTAGATCAATTTACTCAGGAACACAATCTACAGGAGAGGGACAAAGACAAATTAACAACGTAGTCAAACAGCAACAGGCTGCAACAATGGCTACCATACCACACAGTACAATCACAGAACACAAGTTTAGCATATGGTTCGGACATACAAATCGACCACGCATGGTGTTTTCAGAGGTTCAACAGAACAGCAGACTGATAACTCTAATCTCTTATTACAGTCTTCAGACAAGCGATGTGTCGACAAGAGCAAACTCTAGGAACATCATTCATTCAGATAGAAAGACCTCAGGAACAGCAGCTGGGTCCAGCTCGTAGAAGCCACGGAGCTCGCCGCCGTTCTCTTCCGTGAGACGGAACGAGGGTATCTGATGAGAAAACCTCAGGTTCTCCGTCACTGGTATCTTCAGTGCTCTCTTCTGATCATCATGCTTGAACACAGCCACATAGCCATCGACTTTGGTCAGAAACTCAAACATCGTGCTGGATTTAGTGCACCTCTTTATCTCGCCTATAGCATACTCAGCATGATGGCTACTGGAAGGAGAGCAATCAGGCGACCAGTTCAGGTAGATGGCCCAAACTTCACCCACTTTCGGACGGATTTCAAACTGCCACTTTTTGCTAGTTTTTCTGACATTTACAACATGGGAGAAAACGTCAGTTGTGTCATACATGGCCCTCAAGTCGAAGTTACGAACCTGAAATGTACCACAGCTGGTAGCTGCCCACTGCTCCAGCAACTGTTCCTCCTGCTCTTCTTTTGGGCACGCCTCAAGCCAGGTCAAGTACACTCTGAATGGATCCATCTCGACTTCGCTTACCCAGCCATAGAACTTGGGGAACTTGTCAACGTCACTGTATAAAGCCCATATCTGCCCACATTCAAACTTTGCACACGAGCGGAGTTCTTCAAAATTGTGGAAAGCCGATTCAGGACATGTGAACGTTATGGGGGAAAGGGAGTTGTGCTGAGAGGAACAACCATCACCAAATTCAATGGCACCATGGGAACGTTTCTGCAAGGATATGTTTTGTTCAGAAGAGATATTGTTATGATTTCCCATAGGCAAATGTGCTTCAGGGTGATTTTTCTCCAGACCAATATGTTCAGTTCCAGGAACCATTCTACCACTCGTGCTGTCAGTTCTCAAATCAGCTGACACACTGCCAGGAGACATGTAAGATTCTAGAGTAACAGAAGGAAATGCTGCATTCAGGTCAGTGGGGAGAGCTGCAGTGTCAAGTTCCAGAAATCCTCCTGGGACGCCAACTTTTTCGTTTCCAGTTGTCCTATAAAAGGGGATCCTGTGCGAAAACTTGAGTAGCTCACCTGATGGTATTGTGAATGACAATTTGTCCCTAGCTGTTGCGAACAAACTGACAAAGCCCTTAATCCTGACCAGTGGGATAACAGTGGCACCACCATCGGCTGACGTATTTGACAAGACTTCCACAACTTCATATTCATAGGATCTATGGTTATCAGCGTCTAAGCTCCATTCCATGCTCCAACCCTTGTAAAGAGCCCATACCTCACCCTTAATAGGGTATATTACATACGAGTTTCTTTCTTTACCTTCCGTCCATTGAACAATATGGGAAAACATGGACTTGTCTGGTGATATATCTCTTGTTTTCCTTAAGCAAAATTTTCCACAAGCAACAGGTAGTTCTTCATCTGTCCATTTCTCCTCTTTTTTATTCGCTGCATTATGCTCCAGCCAAGCCAAATGTACTTTGAAGTCTGAATCATCAAGCTGCAATATTCGAGCATAGAATCTTGGCATGCCATCAAGGTTATCATAAATGGCCCAAATCTGACCAACTTCAAACCAAGTGACATCCCTGAACTTCTCAAAATCAAAGATATTTGGGACAGGCATGGAGAGGCACCTGGAATAGCAACTCTTCTCACCAACAGTATCAGTAGCTTCTGAATTGATATTGCCCTGATCACTAACAGTATCAGAATTAGCATTGCATTTCTGTGTCGCATTTCCATCCCTTTGGCTGTCCACTTCTCTATTGTGATGTTCAGATGACTGATTGTTGGAACCAACAACAATATCATTAGACATTTTACCTCTGCCACAATTAGCATTCCCTTCATGTGTTGCATTTCCATCCCCTTGGATATCCACTTTGCTGGAAAGATACTCAATTGATTGATTGCCAGCACTAGCAAGACTATCATTAAACATTTTAATGTCTCCTGAATTAGCAGTGCCATCATATGTTGTGTTACCATCCCCTTGACTGTTCATTTCTCTAGGGAGATATTCAGCTGATTCATTGCTGGAACTAGCTACATTACCATTGCATATTTCATCATTACAAGAATTAACATTGCATAGAAGCATAGAATTTCCATCCCCTTGGATGCCCACTTTGTTGTGTAGATGTTCAGTTGATAGATTGTCAGCACTAGCAACACTACCATTAAACATTTTATCATTACTGTGGTTAGTGTTGTGTTCATGTGTTGCATTTCCACCCCTTTGGCTGTCCACTTTGCTGGGGCAATGTTCAGCTGATTGACTATCAATACCAGCAATATTATCATTAAACATTTTATCATCACTGTAATTAGCATTGCCTTCATGTGTTGCATTTTCACCCCCTTGGCTGTCCACTTTGCTGAGGAGATGTTTAGCTGATTGACTGTCAGTGTCAGCAACATTGTCACTAGGCATTTTATCACCACCGGAATCGGCATCGGAGAGTGAACTATACTTCTTTACCCTCTTGTTATAGGAGTCCCTGCTGTGGCTGTTGTTGGCATCATCATCTTGCTTTCTTTTACCCGATGTCTCAAGACTGCCGGACCCTGCATCATTTAGCATTGTAGATGCATCTTCTCTACTCAAGTTCTGGGTGGCAACAAAGTGTGGATCTGCAGGATCTTGCATCATCCTTCTTGTTGTACACTCAATTACAGAAGGTGCAGGAGAGTGAATTAGATTTGTTGCTAAACATTCGACCAACCCACTTCTTGTCTCTGAGCAGCTACCTTCGTGATCACCATCAGACCTGCCATCCCACTCCATATGTTCATCCCTTTGTCTAGCATGCATCATTGGCTCATTCCCCCCTGTAGGATAAAGCTTACTGTACCGGAACTGTGGATTGTGGACACCATGTTTCTGACTTGCAAATATTTCAGATGGAACTTGAGAATTATTTGGAGCAGCAAGGAACCTTGAGGGAACAACCTCTTCTTGTAGGTTGAATGCAAAAAAGTTTTTACTGCAGTCTTCACAGCGGATCACAAGGTTCTTCTGATGGTACACAAATCGCTTCCGGCAATGCGGGCATATGGTCCAAAACACCTTTACACAATCAGATGGTGGTATGTGTTTAACCACATCACTTTTGTTTGCACAGGTCTCATCTGATGGCCATATAGTTTCCTTTGACATTTCACGGGAACCACACTGTCTTTTGATGTCATATCGTGATCGCTTCACATGATCACACAATATTGTATGAGCTTCTGAAACCAAATTGAAAGCAGCTTGAGCACTAGGAAGACTAATTTTGCCAGGGTGAAGCAAAAGGGCAAGTTTCTCATATCCCTTTCTTATGATTGTTTCATCAGCTGTAGCTTCCACTTGGAGGATACCATACCAGTCCATGTATCCATTGACCTTCACCTCTGCCGCACAATGCACTTCACAGATAGTCAGTAACTGGGATAAGTTCTCAAGCTTTGGATAGAGCCTTTGAGCTTTAAGTGCAATCCTTTTGGCACCCAAGAAGTCTTTAGCTTTCAGCTTCCTTAAAGCAATTTCTTTGGCATGTAATGCCTCTTCTTTGTTGCACTCCATCACACATCTAGCAAATTGTCCCAATAGCCTTTATCATATACTGCTACCAGCCTGACATTAGTACCCACTGGCTACCATTCTTTCAGGAACAGACTGTCTCGAAGCAGTAGTAATGCACACTGTTGGATCAATCTATGCAACACAAATAGAACTTTTAGCGCATCAAGTCCTGCATGTATACAAAGAACCAAGTATATGTTAGCGCTGAGATTGAAAACCTCAGTAGCACCAGAAAAATGCAAAGTTGAGTGAAGGATACTATTAGTGTGGACATTAACCACCCAGATGAAGATTCAGGATCAACAAATAAACTTTCTTGCCACTTACTACATTTAACTTTGCTATTATAAATTTAGTATTAGTAGACTTAACAAGATTTAATAGAATAAGCAACACGATATGCTCAGTGGTTCAGGTCCAGAGACCTTGTAAATTTGACAGGTGGACACGACTGGAGCAAGCCAGATATAACAACATGGTGACCAAATATATAAGCGCCCACAGTACAATTACTTCTATCATGCAAGGAGTTAATCCAAATCTGATTATGGTTTTAATATCCTACATGAGATGCTTTTAGTAGGCAGTGCCGGAATCCCTGAACATAATAGGCTCCCTCACACAATAGAATTTCTTTTCTGGTGTTCTCTAAAAGTCATACATACAATGTATAATCTTTTAACTTTTAAGCAATTATTTCGAAAACAAATTTTTATATGCACCGTGCTTCCAATTCCACATGCCCCCCAAAGGAATTTTGGTCAGATGGAGCAACCACAGAGGCTAAAATGGATTGTGGAAAAATGGAAAATATATCCCTGTATACAAGCAAATGGATATTTCCACGAATCCACAGCCGCAGCACCTATAACAACTCAGGTTAAAGAACCCCAAAGATGTTATCGCTCTTGGAGTGCACTGCTAGTAGCCGCAGAAATTAGCGAGGATCTTGTGGCAATTCAGTTCAGGGCATCAATCGCAAGCTTTTCAAGCACATCCACATGATATAAACCGAAAGGAGCAAATACTACCGAGGCAACCCAGCAAACATCCCTCCCCCAATTTTCCCCAAATTTTCGCTAATGTACAGAAAAGAGTTCAGCCAGTGCTGTAAGGTGCCTCGGAAATCACAAAGCGGCGCCTGCATTTGCCGTGCATTTTCTGAGCCCAAGCACCCAAAGGCTGCGCCTTTGGAGCTGATTCCACCCACAGACCCAGAGTAGCCGCGATCGGTCCAAGAACGGAAGGAGGAAGGGTACGCCGTACGCGACGCGACAGGGAAAAGGAGCCGGGCCGGGGCATCGAAGCCAGAAGCGGTACCTGAGCTCGATATGGCGCGGAGATGGAGCGAGCGGCGGAAGGTTGATGCCGGCCGCCGGCGAGATGACGGGGGAGCCGGGGAAGGCGGGCAGCAGCTGCGGCGAGGCAGCGGCCGATCGATCGATTGGGTAATGGGGTTTTGCCGCAGTGAGGGCAGGAGCAGGGAGCGAGGTAGGCAGTAGGCACGCCGCACGCGTGTCGCGTGAGCAGTGGGCTCGGGCTGCACAGTAAATGTCATTTTTGCCCTTGTGTTGGTTGCTTTTTGGTACGGATGATCAGCTGTCGAATTTTTTTTTGTTTCATAAAAAAAAGCTGTCGGATATTTTTCATCATATATTTCTAATAATCCAACCCATCAGTAACCACACACAATAGTGAGTGTTAGTCCACAGTTAAAGGGGTTTTATTCCAATTCCAAATATAAAGAGAATTTACAATTTCTTAGACAATGCCATCGAGATGCATATTGCGGGAGATCAATACAGTTATTTACGATTAGAACTGAGGCTTGATCCTACGGTTTATGCCATACTATATTTTTAGGGATTACGGCATTGCTGGCGCCCGAACGTCGGATGAGATAGGATTCCATCAGACGGTAACCTGGGCACAGTTTCACTGAATAGCCTAGCAGCATGGTCCATCAGAAAACGCCATCGTGTGACCCTGGCTTCAGTCGCCAGCCCACCCACCCGCGCCTACCGCTGCACCGTTCGCAGCTGCACGTGCGTGTCCGTCCCCGTCCGCCTCATCCTGCCCCGCACATATGCCCTGCCCCTGTCCACCTCGTGCCCGTCCTGCGCCCGCCACTCCTTCCCCCTGACCCCTCCTCTCTCCGAGGACAAGCACGCCTCGTCCGTAGGACCCTAGGCGTGCCGCGCGCCCCATCAGCCGGCCCCTAGCTCACGCGCCCTTCCCCCTACGCCCGATCCGTGCCCCCATGACTCTCTGAAGATACCTATGAAACACGAAAACACTTGCAATATGAAACACTTATGCAACATACGTCTGAAGCAGATGAAATATTTGAAACATACACTTGCAACATGTGTGTGAACACATATGCAACATCCACATAAAACACTTGCAATATGAAACACTTATTGCAACATAAGACTGAAACAGTTGAAACATTTCGATCATACTATTGCAACATATGTGTGAAACATGTGCAACATCCAGATAAAAAACGCTTGCAACATACGTCTGAAACAGACAAAACATTTTTCACAAACACTTGCAACATGCCTCTGGCACACTTGCAGCATATGCAACATTCTCATATACTTTTGCAACACCCTTAACACTTGCAACATACCTCTGATAACATTTGAAATACTTAAAACATACATTTGTAACATAGGGGGAGGGAGAGGCCAGAGTCGGTTGATTCCGACCTCAGAGTGGGAGCCAGCACCGAGCGACAATATGCGAGCACCACCAGCACGAACCGTGCTCGTGTGTGCCCTTGGCTCGGTGGGACCGACCTGAGGCGCGCGACGGCACCACCAGCACCAGCAGAGGCGGGCGGCGCGCGGCGGGTGGGACTGCGGGAGCAAGGAGCGAGAGGCGAGCAACGCAAGATGAGGGCACGTGTGGGAAGATGGCCGCTGCGGATGCCTAAGATGCCAAAGATGCAGGATGTTGTCCAAGTAAAGGGTTTTCGGCATATAAGTTTGGTGCACAGCTTTGCCAAACTGGTGACTAAGATCATGGTGAACCGGTTGGCCCCTGTCCTACCAAATTTAGTATCCCCAAACCAGACCACTTTTGTAAAGGTTAGGCGAATTCATGATAACTTTATGTTTGTCCAGCAGATGGTTAAATGCCTGCACAAGAACAAGAAAAAAGAGGCTCATATTTTCCTCAAGCTTGATATCTCTAAGGCATTTGATTCGGTTTCTTGGTCCTTCTTGCTGGAAGTCTTGGGCCATGTGGGTTTTGGACAGCGCTGGATGGACCTTTTATGTTTGCTCCTGTCAACTTCCTGCACTCAAGTCTTGGTGAATGGGGAGCCGGGTGAGACAATTCTTCATAGGCGAGGACTCAGGTAGGGAGATCCTCTCTCTCCCATGTTTTTCATTATTGTCATGAATGTCCTAAATTGCTTGATTGAGTATGCTACTAAGGAGCAATTGCTGCAGCCTTTGTCTATGCAGCAGGTCCAGCATAGGGTTTCTTTTTATGCTGATGATGCAGTTGTTTTCCTAAGTCCGGCAAGAGATGACCTGTATTTGATGAAAGAGCAACTGGACCTTTTTGGACATGCTTCTGGACTCCAAATCAACCTGTCCAAAAGCTTGATTTCTCCCATTCATCGCTCTGTTGATGAAGTGGCCACCACAGCTGCTATCTTATCCTGTACCATCAAGGAATTTCCATGCACCTATCTTGGGCTCCCTCTCACAATTGGGAAACCCACTAAGGAGGATTTGCTACCAATAATTGACAAGGTGGCAGATTACTTGCCGGGCTGGAAAGCCTAGTTAATGAATCGGGCAGGAAGATTGGTAATGGTTCGAGTAGTTTTAACAATTGTTCCCACTTACCTTTTGATCGCCATGGACTTGCCAAAATGGTTTCTAAAGGCTATTGACAAGAAAAGGAGAGGCTTCCTTTGGAAAGGCCAGGAGCAGACTAATGGTGGTAATTGTTTGGTGGCTTGGGAAATGGTGCAGCGGCCTCTTGAATATGGTGGCCTTGGGATCCAGCGTTTTAAGGATTCATTGGCTGTGGGCTGAGAAAACCGATCCATCAAGACCATGGGCTGGTCTTCCAGTACAAGTCCCCCGCAAGGCTCAGGCCCTCTTCAATATTACAGTAGATATGCCATAGTAGGGAATGGTGAGAAAAATCGGTTCTAGACAGATAGATGGTTGGTGATGGTGCTTCGACATCATTTTTCTGGATAACTGGTTAAGGGAAAATCCCCTTTCAACAACCTTTCCAGCGCTCTTCAGTCACGCCCGAGATTCAGATCTCTGTCAAGTCAGTCATGCAGTGTGGCCTTCGAAACACACTACACCCCTGCCTATCCAGAGCAGCCAGTGCTGAGTTTGCTGAGGCAGCAACGGAGCTTGGACATGTGCAGCTTAATACATGTTTCGAAGATGACTCTCAGCAGGCCATGTCTACAGAACTTCAGTCAGCACGGGGTATGCAGCGATTGAAGACGCTGACCACATCATCTCCCAATGTCTATTTGCCAGGAAATTCTGGGAACATTTGTGTTTGGTTTGCATGAATTATTTCTCAACCCTGAAAAAAAGAATGGAGAAGCAGTAGTATAGTCTCTACTCTGCGAGAAGGGATTTGAGAAATCAAAATCCAAATGCAAGTAGTAGACGCCAAAAATCAGCCACCATTTGCTAGTATCTTGTGCCCAGATCTGAACATAATTCGAATGAGAAAAGCTGAGCTGAATCAATGGATGCTCTTCTATTCGGTGGACTCGTTGCGCCGGCGTTGGCCACAGGAGCTCCGTGTGTCAGCAGATCAACGTCTCCAACGGCTAGAGCTCATCCGGGTCTCCTGCGTTGCCCACGTCCTGCGCACTCGCCACACCAACCGCCTCCGGAGAGCACGCTCTGCCGCGCACACATGCGCGCCCGGTCTTCACGGCGCCCACTCTCCATTCTGGGCGCTCGCCCACTCACGCGTGTGTTGTGTGTGTAGTCATG